CAATTAAAGGCTTCACAAATGGAATCAAGACACTGAACAACTGGAATTAAGACACTGATACTAGGCATCGCGCTTATTAGGCTGCGTTTATACTTTGCGGCAGCGTAGCGTAGCGCTTCCAGCGTACGCCAGCGGCAGTGCCGAAGAGAGGATGCATATCGATCTAGCTTCACCAGCGTCACCAGCGGCACGCTAGCGCACGCTGGCGTAGCGAGGGCACGGGAAGCATAGCTATCGATCTAGCTTCACCAGCGTTTCTCCAGCGTTTTCCCAGCGCTTGCAGCGACGGGGCTAGAGAGGGGCTAGAGAGCACTGGACGGTCGCTTCACCAGCGTCGCTAGCGTGCCGCTGGTGACGCTGGTGAAGCTAGATCGATATGCATCCTCTCTTCGGCACTGCCGCTGGCGTACGCTGGAAGCGCTACGCTACGCTGCCGCAAAGTATAAACGCAGCCTTAGGGTTGATGCCATCTTCTTCTTGCGTTTTTTTTAATGTATGTTATAATGAAACAGATAAATGTTCAGAGATCACCTGCTTGAGTGTGTCTAGGCTTTTTGCAGAAATTGTTGTTCTGGGTCGCTTACTACTTACATCCATTTCCAAATCGGTTGCTGAAATAAGAGCGTTCGAGATTCGTCTAGTTCAAGAAAGCCATGAATGAAACAATACGCTTACGATAGTAAAGGCATTTTAACTTTCCGCACACTTCATTCCAATTTATTGACCTCTAGGAAATTAGGAACCATCCTACTGTTATAACCCAGAAAAAAATGAAAAAAAGCTTCGCTCAAAAGCTTTCGGTCCCCTCGCTGTGAAAAAAGCACGCAACCACGGCGCCATGATATCGCGCCCCTACAAATTCATGCCGCACACTGAATTGGCAAGGCGGGTTAAGTTCGGCTTCTGCTCAGGGCACCACGTGAGGCATCGTCCAACTCGCGACAGCAGCGCCAACCGCCGCGATCGTAGCGATCGTCGTGCTCGTCGGGACGCGACAGAGCGCGCCCCAACGCTACTACTTGGACCACTCGCTTCGATAAATAAAGGAATCCCACTGGTAAAACCTTTTTCCCCAATAACAGCTACTAGCTGAAGTATTTGTACTTAGGAGGATCTAATCTAGAATATAAGGAATGAAGGTTTCACCTCTTTTTTTTGAGGTCGGTATAAGGGCAAGGTCATTTCCTAGATGAGCTTCTTTTTGTTTCTTTTGTTTTCATTGTTTCAATTTATATGAAGTGTCTTAAAAGTTTCCTATTGGCTAACTGTTCCAACTTCC